TTCTAGAGCCCCTCGCTCCGTCTTGGCAGTCGGCTGCGATTGAGACTCTGCGCGGTGGGTGGCTCACCTCCGCTCGCCCTCGCGCTCCCGGTAGCGTCGGCGATTGTCTTTTTGGTTGGTGTGGCGACGGCCCGAATGGTACATGTCGGCACTATGTAAGATGCTCGTCGCTGTGGCCCCTGGCTTTCGGAGCAGATCCACCATCTGACTTAGCAGCAAGGCTTGGTCTTGACGGAGCTACCAGCAATTTGCAAATTGAGGCCATCGTCGTGGCTTTCCACTGTTGCAATGTGCGTTGAATGTCTGGCCCTTGCCCCCAAGGGGTAGGGCTGCAAGCATATCGCTACCGAATTCGTCGAGCAGCCAAGGCTCTCGCCGACCCCGACCGTGCGCCCTGGGCCCTCTGAGGACCCTCTGGCGCCCCTTGGTACGACCGATACGTGTCTTCCTTTATTCTCTGGATGCCTTCAATCTCAGAGTTGGCGCCTCTCCCTTAGCAGCTGGGGCGTCTCGCGGGGTCCCCTCGCGCGTGGGCAAGACAGGATGCCGCCCGCCTGGGTGCTTCCAGGTGTAGGCTTGTCGCCACTGCCTCGGCCCCCTGGAGGGGTCAGGGTGAGGGGGCTGAACGGTCATTCACTGTCCTTGGGTGCGTGGCTGAAGTGGGATTCGGTCGCGCGGAGTCTGCTTGTTGTCGTTGTGGTTGTTGTTGTCGAGTATTCATTCCCAGAGAGAAATTATTGCTGATCTCTGGAGACGGTTCCGCGCGCTCTCGCCGCGACGCCGGCTGCGTGTTGTCTGACAGCGAGGCTCCCGCGCGAGCTTTGGCTTAAGTGTGGAAGTGGGCCCTTGGGGGCTCGGCAACGACGACAACGGCGGCCGCTCGATATTTCGCCACGCTTTAACCCGAGACGCCCTGGCCAGAGAAGACCCCGAAATCAGGAACGGCGCTCTCGCTTAAGACTTCCTCGCGATTCAGTTAAATTGGCGGAGGCCCAGCCGCGGCGACCGGGGCTCCTGCTCGATACTTCCGCGCGATTTACCCCGAGAGCCCCTGGCCAGGGAGGCCCCCGAACTCGGGGACGGCGCTATCGCTCGGGATTCCCTCGTGATCCAGTCAAAGTGGTGGAGGCCCAACTGCGACAAGGGCCATCTTTCAATATGTCCTCAAGATGCATTCGCAGAAGCCCCTGCCAGAGAGGCCCCCGAACTTAAGAGCGGCGCTCTCGTTCGAGATGTTCTCGCCGTTCTGGCAAGTTGGCGGAGGCCCAGAGACGCGGCGACGAGGAACTCCCGTTCGATAACTTTCAATATGCTGTCCGACATCCCTTGGCCTGGCCAGAGAGCCCCCCGAACTCAGGAACGGCGCTCTCGCCAAAGAGTTCCTCGCACAGCAGCCAATGGCCGCAGAGATCCCCTTCCGAAAAAGGGTGCGATCGATGACGAAGTGGGTGGGTCTCGAAGGTTGGGATATACCGAATGCAAAACACGCGTGTCAGTAAGAGCGCACATGCTTAAACTGATTGATTGGTTGATTGTTGTTGTTGTTGTTGTTGTTGTTGTTGAACATTATTACTTCTAAAGAATAATTATTGTTGGGGCCCCTGGTGCACGACCCCCCCGCCGCGCCTAGGCCGCAGCCTCATTTTCATCATTTTCGTGAGGAAGTCTCAGGCAAAACGGGTTGGTCCGGATCCGGTTGTGTTGTTACGATCGGTTTTCCCTTGCAAAAAATAAGCTAAAGTGGACATTTCTTGTTCTAACATAACCAAACTTCAAGAATCCCTTGCAAAAAATAAGGTAAAGTGGACATTCGCGCGCGCAAGACGAAATCCTTCCAAAACCTTAGTTTTCGTAGCGATTTTAACATAAAAACATCAAAAAACCAATGGTTTTTCAAAAAAAATGTCAAAATTTCATCCCGCGCGCTCTTGCGGATTCGTAGGAAACCCAACACTTTTTAATCATTTCTGTCAAACGGGCTTTTGCGAGCAACTTTTTCGAACTTCTGCAACAACGGTTGCGCACCTGCCAGGGCCATCATCCCTGTCAAATAATACCATGCGGGACACATTCGTTTTTTCTTCGCGCGCGCACGCCGTCGTCGTCGGCCGCGGGGCCCTGAATAGTAGCCACGGTCGTCCGCATGCCACGAAGTGAAGTGTCCGAACGTCATAGGGCGGGAAGCTGGGTGTGGGTGGTGGCGAAGAGTCGTTTGGAAATTTGGTAGAGCTTGAACCGGCCCCCCCACAAAGTGGGGGTATTGCCCGCCTCCTATGAAAACCCTGGCACTGGTGAGAACGGTGTGTCCCCACGTGCTAGTAATTGTTGTTGTTGTTGTTGAATTCCTCACTATTGAAGAATAAGTATTGTTGGTCCCACCTCTGGTGACCACTGTGTTGTTCAATTGAAGTCCCCCCGGGGCTAGCACCTTGTTTTGGTATCAGGGAAAGGCACTCGGGTCAAGCTGTTTTGTTGCCCCCTGGATTACAACGACAACGACTCCCGCTTGAGATTTTCCCACCATTGAGCCCGGACCCCCGCGCCCGCCTGAGACTTCCTCGCATGTTACTCAGGAGTCGCGCTCTCGCTTGGGACCTCCCCACAATGTATTCAGGAATCGCTTTCTCGGCGCGCTGGAGTCGCGCTCTCGCTGGAGACTTGCTTGCAATGTATTCAAGAATCGCGCCATTGCATTGGAACTCCCCGCAATTTACTCAAGCGCCGCGCTCCCGACACGCAGGCCCCCAGGATTCGCGTTCACGCTTGGGACTCATTCGCAGCTTGTTTAGAAATCGGGATCTCGCTGCCCTTTGTCGTGGCCCCGTTGCACCCCTTCGTGGCCCCCTCGCTGCCCTTCGTGGCCTCCTCGCTGCCCATCGTGGCCCCGCTGTCGCCCTTTGTGGCCCCCTCGCTGCCCTTCGTGGCCCTGTTGCACCCCTTCGTGGCCCCCTCGCTGCCCGTCGTGGGCCCGTTACACCCCTTCGTGGCCCCCTCGCTGCCCTTCGTGGCCCCGTTGCAGCCTTTCGTGCCCCCCTCGCTGTCCTTCGTGGCCCCGTTGCAGCCTTTCGTGGCCCCCTCGCTGCCCTTCGTGGCACCGTTGCACCCCTTCGTGGCCCCCTCGCTGCCCTTCGTGGCCCCGTTGCAGCCTTTCGTGGCCCCTTCGCTGCCCTTCGTGACTACATATATGTATGCCCTTCGTGGCCCCCGCTCGTTCGCTGCCCTTCGTGGCCCCATCTATGTATGCCCTTCGTGGCCCCGCTGTCGCCCTTCGTGGCCCCCTCGCTGCCCTTCGTGGCCTCCTCGCTGCCCATCGTGGCCCCGTGTTTGCCTTCTGCGGCCCAATATACGTATGCCGTTCGTGGCCCCCGATGGTTCGCGCTCGTCGTGGCCCCATTCGCATGCCCTTCGTGACCTCGCTGTCGCCCTTTGTGGCCCTTCGCTGCCCTTCGTGGCCCCGTTGCAGCCCATCGTGGCCCCCTCGCTGCCCTTCGTGGCCCTATAAATGTATGCCCTTCGTGGCCCCCGCTCGTTCGCTGTCCTTCGTGGCCCCAGATATGTATGCCCTTCGTGGCCCCGCTGTCGCCCTTCGTGGCCCCCTCGCTGCCCTTCGTGGCCCCGTTGCTGCCCATCGTGGCCCCGTGCTTGCCCTCTGCGGCCCCATATGCGTATGCCCTTCGTGGCCCCCGCTTGTTCGCGCCCGCCGTGGCCCCATATGCATGCCCTTCGTGACCCCGCTGTCGCCCTTTGTGGCCCCTTCGCTGCCCTTCGTGACCCCGTTGCTGCCCATCGTGGCCCCGTCGTCGCCTTCTGTGGCCCCGCATTATCTGCCCTTCGTGGCCCCAGCTCGTTCGCGCCGTTCGTGGCCCCATACGGATACCTTTCGTGGCCCCGCTGTCGCCCTTCGTAGCCCCCTCGCTGCCCTTCGTGGCCCCGCTGTCGCTCTCGCTCTCGCGTTCGCTCCCGCCCGTCGTCGTCGTCGTCGTCGTCGTCGTGGTCGGTCCCCTGCCCGTCCCTTTTGGGGTTGGGTTGCCGCCGATCAGCGTTGCCGCTGACCAGGACGACGGTCCGCGGCCCCTCCGCCGCTTGCCAGGGCTTGGCCTGCAGGGAGGAAAGATATACCCCCCAAAGGGGCACGATCGAAGACGAAGAGGGCGGGTGTCGAGGGTTTGGGAATTACACGTTGAATGACACTCGAGCAGATAAGAGCGCACCGTCTTAAAATGCGTGTTGTTGTTGCGTTGCGTTGCGTTTCGTTCCGCTCCGTTATGTTGTTGTTGTTGTTGTTGTCGTCGTCGTCGTCGTCGTCGCCGTTGTCGTCGTCGTCGTCGTCGTCGTCGTCCCGCCCGCGACCCGCCCGCGACCCACCCGCGACCCACCCGCGACCCGGCCCGCGAACCGATCACGCTATTTTGATGAAAAATGGGCGCGCGCTTGCGGCGAACTCGTTGTATGATATTTGGAATATCGGCGCCTGCGGCGGCCTTCTCAGTAGCCTCGCGGACTGCCGACGACTCCGCCGCTTCCTTCCTCTTATCCACAACTGCGGGGTGCTACGTACATTGTGGCCAGTTTCAGAAAGGGCCTCGCCTTCCAGGTTGACATCTCTTCCTCGGCGGAAGGCTGACAGACGGCGGCGGCGGAAGCACAATGGGAGCGGGCCCGCTGGCGGAAGCCAGCGGACGCCACGCGGAAGGTAGCGGAAGTAGAACGCGGCCGTCACAGAGATGTACATTTTTGGGGTTCGGGGTTCGTGGGACGAGCCTTGTACGTCGCCCCTCACGGGCAGACCTGACGAGACCTTGCCGCTCTGGCTGCCTCCAGACGCATCGTTGTCGCCATTCGTTTGAAGCCAATGGGGAGTTTAGCGGAGTGTTCCGCACGCGGACCTGACAAGAACTCGCTTGCCTGGATTACCCCGAGCACAATTTTTCGCCACTTCCCGAACCCCCCGCAGAGCCCCGCAAGCTCTCCCCCGCACTCGGTCCTGACAGGACCTCCGCAGCCGTTTCGGTGCAAGCAGTCCACAGCCCGAGTCTCCAAATCGGGAAAGTGTGAAGCACGCGCGCACGCGCTAGGATGGCGTGTTGTCGGTCTCTGTGCTCGTACGAGGAGCCATCGGAGTCTGAGCTAGCTCACATGAAAAAGTGCGTCCATTTTGAAATCAAAGGGGTCATCGTCATGAATCCGGTCGTGTTCGGCAGTTCCTGCTTCTTGCTTTGGGGTTTCGTGATCGCCTGCTGCGTCGAGCCAGACTACATGAAGCGCGCCATGGACCTAATCGCCTGGGAATGGATTCCCGAGGTGTGGACGTGGATTTACATCGTGTCTCAGGACATCTGGGTTGTTGTCCTCCTCTGGGCTATGATCTGGCACGGCAAGCTGAAGCTGGGAAAGGACGATGACGAGCCAGAGTTCAGCACCACCACCTGGTTTTCGATGCTGTTTTGTTGCGGTGTGGCCACAGGCCTGTTCTATTAATCTGTAAGCAGTACGAGGGGGCACCAACATACACATTCGGAGCATTAGAGATCACTAAAGGATCCCTGTGTGAACCCACAGAGTGGATTTGCGCACTATGTGTGGACAAAAAACGAATCATACTTAAGCATCGCAAAAACAATGCAAGTGAGCGCAAAAGAGTACAAAGCAATACGCACGAATGCAAAGCAATGCAGATGAACTCAAACGACAACGGGTTTCAAGTGGGCGGCCAAAAGGGCGGGCGCGAGCCGAACATCAGGCAAACGCAGCCAGTTCTATTAACGCCAAAGGCAGAAACCTTGGTGGAAGTACTGCCTGGGGAATCGAATTAAAAACAATCGGCAAGACAAGAACACAAGGCCTGTTCTACTACTCGGTGGCGGAGCCGATGTGGCACTACAAGGGCTGGGGATCCCCGAGGTTCGTCTCCGGGGCCAAGGGCTACGGTACCGAGGACGAGGACGCAACGCACGCGCTGATGGTTGCCGAGGACCAGAAAATGGCACAAACAGAGACGTTAGGAGGTCCACGCGGACCTTCCGGGGCGGCGTGGGGGGGGCCCGCAGTTGCGCGCATCGGGGAGGGGGTGTTGGGGTGGGGGGTTCCAGCGCCGACGCGACGAGGTCCGCGCGGACCGCCAGAAGTTTCTGCCCGCGCACTTCTCTGTCCTCTCAGGTCAGCGTCTTTCATTGGGGCTTGCACGGCTGGATCCCCTACGTGGTGATGGGTGCCGTGCTTGCCATCATGACCTACCGACGTGGATACCCCATGACCGTCCGCTATGCGTTCGTGCCTCTCATCGGCGACCGCGTTTACGGCCCGTTGGGCGACTGCGTGGACGCCCTTTCAATCGTCACCTCCATCGCGGGAGTCTGCACCTCACTCGGCCTGGGCGCCATACAGATCAACGCTGGGCTTCAGCGCATCAGCTGGGGGTCATTCCGCGGCACGAACTACGCCATTCCGTACGAAACGATAGTGAACCAGAATGGTCAGACAGTGAATAAGTATGCAAACCCTGGGTGCAATGGCCAAGGATTTGCCTGTGACGATGGAGAGGAGTCTTATGGCGTGCAGCGAAGCACGATGATCCAGATCGTAGCCATCTTGACCATCACCTGCATGTCGACCGTGTCGGTGGTGTTGGGCATCGGCCGCGGCATCAAATTCCTTTCACAGTGTGTGTTTGCGATGGGCAGCTTCTTAATGCTAGTCGCGGCATTGAACGGCGAGACTTACCTAATCCTTGATAATATAGTGCAGGTTACTGGCTACTACATGTGGTATATTATCAAGATCGGCTTCCATTGCGACAGTTGGGAGCGCCTTGGCGGGAAAGACATGGGGCTCGGCGGGGTAGACACAGGTGGCGGTCCCACGTGGATCATCGATTGGACCATATTTTATTCAGCAGGCCTGCGTCATTCCGTCGATCTTCGAACGGCAGACAGGGCCAATTCAATCTGGGTTGCACGGGTTGCCCGCGTGGGATAAAGCGCAGAAGGACACCGAAGAGCGATGTGTTGCCGAGGAGGGGCAGGGAGGCAAGTGGGAGGGGGAGAGCAGGCAGGATGTCGGGGAGCAAGTGTGGCACCTTCCTCAGTGTTGGGGCTTCGCGGCTTCTCTTGGCGCTTCTTGGGGGTCTTGTTGCGGTTATGTCGTGTGTATGTTGGGTCTTCAGTGGGGTCTCCAAGAGGAAACAGGATAGTGTGGAGGCGAGGGAAAAAGAGGAGGTGAACGATAATACCGGTCAGTGCATGAGTGTATGAGCCTCGAACGTCCAACCTTGTCTTTCCATGTTGGCCTTGTTAATTGCATGCTCCACCAGGTCTTGATGCCTCGCGTATCCCCACTCGCCCATCCAGAAGCGATGCCCAGAGGGGTTGCCTCGAGGAGGCGCGCAGGTAACCATATCATAGTAAGGAAGGAGGCCAATCATGGTGAGAGTAGTCCTCTTGGAGCCTCTTTGAGCCATTGTTGGGCAACTTTGGGAGTTGTGGGCTCTCCTATGGCCTTCTTGCTGCCCTTTTGGGTCTGCCTTTGGGTCCTCTTGGGTGCCTTGGGCCCCTCGTGGGACTATCTCGACGGCCATCGATCAACAAAAAGGAGCCCGCTTATTTCTGCCCCGCCTGCCCCCCCACCCCGTTGGGGCCATGCAGCTTATTGTTTGGGGCCCTCTTGGGACCCTCTTGGGGCGCTCTTGGGCGCTCTTGGGGCTGTCTTGGGCCTCTCTTGGGCCCCTACTGGGGCTCTCTTGGGCTATCTTGGGCTCTCGTGGGCTCTTTTGGGCAATCTTGGAGCCACCCGTGGGCCTCAAGAGCCTATCGGAAACGACACCTCGAGATGACAAACAACATTGAAAGCAACAAGGCTTTCAAAGGATGTTCGCTCTCTTGGGAGCCTCCGTGGCCACTGCGAGCCGTCTTTGAGGCCCCCTGGAGGCACGTTGGAAGCTAACTTGAACCATCTTGGGATTTGTTGGTCAGTCTCGGAGTCGATCGTGGGCTACCTGAAGCCACCGTGGGGTCATCTTAAGCCATCTTGTACGCTCCAACGCGTCGCGGCACCCCCCTCCAGACCCAGGGGGAGGGGGTAGGGCGAATGGGTCAAGACACCCCATAGATAGCAAGTCGTCTAGCTCACTCCCACCCGCCCTCCCACCACATAAGTAACACCCGAGCCTGAGCATGTTCGGCGGTCGTCTTTGGATGGGCAGCTGCTGGGAACCGACACCGACCCCATGCGTGCGACGCTGGGGCGAAGTGCGTCACGCGTGCCAGGCGCGCCACGCGCGCCAGGCACCCCTGGGGTCCGAGCGTGCCAGGCACGCTTGGTGCGCCAGATGCGCCACGTGCTCCGCGTGCGCCAGGTGTGCCGCATACTCCAGCCGCGCCAGGTGCGCCACGTTCGGGGCACGTGCAGAATGTGTCGGGTGCGCCTGCACACGTGACAGCACACATCGGTAAACATGGCGGCCCCACCATCCTTGTCGAAAACCAATGCCCATCATTGTGTCTGGTGGGCCTGCGCACAGCAGGCCATACGCCACCACCCCCGCCGCCCCTGTCAAACACCACTTGACTGTGATCGCGGGGTGGCCGCGCATTATCCAGATTTAGCCGCGAGGCGCATGTCGCATTTGTTGTTAGGGATGGTAGCCTTGCGCAATCTGCTGACCCCCCCCGCCGTCCCTGTCAAAAACAATACAGAGTGCTCGCGGGCCTCACGAACATGGTTCAAGGTTTTGTCCCAAAGTGTAATTTCTATTGTTTTTGACAGGGATGGTGGTGGGGGAGGGAGCGCATCGGGTTGGCCGCGCATGCTCCAAATGTGGAGGCAGAGTGCGTTTTGTATTTTTTGTGACAGGGATGGTGGGAGGTGAGCATGGTTCCTTGTTGGCCGCGGGTCACCTGGGGGAGGGGGTGTACATTAGTAGGGAACAGTGATGAAGCTACCCATAAACAACAAGCCGTCTCGCTCACTCTCCACCCGCCTTTCCGACACACAAGTAGCACCCGAGTCTCAGCATGGACATGGGCCACCATCGACAAATATCGGGAACCGACGCAGACGCCAGCCAGTTGCGCGAAGCATACGAGGTTCGCAACACATGCAAGGCGCTACATTGGGCAATACATCGGCCCAATGACAATTCCTTGAATTTTATGATGGCGCTCGCCGCGCGGAAGACGGCAGAAGTACTGCGAGGGCGACGGAAGCAGGCGGTAGTAACAGTGCGCCTTCCGAACCCTTTGCCCTAGTAGAAGCCTAGCAAGGTAGCCTTCCTTCTTGGGTCGGTCGGGATCCCGCCGAGCTTAGTCCCTGTGAATATTATAAGTTTGATTCGGCGAGGTCAGAATTCCACCCATTGAGGGATCCCGCCGCGTTGAGACCGGTTGGACGCAAGCTGGGGTGCATAAGTTCACGGACTCCTGCTGTGGTGGGGCCGTCTTGATGCCATCTTCAGGCGATGCGTGCGCCGTCCTGTCGCCGCGGACTCCTCGTCAGGGTCTCTTGAAGCCATGTTGGGTCATCTTGAGATTCTTTTCGCATGATATGCAGGTCGCGGGACCGCCCTCTGCGTCGACTTGCGAACGATACTGGGTGCATCTTGGAGTTGTCGTCAGGTCGTTTTCAGATCACGCTCGCGTCATGTCAGGATTGTGCGGGTGTAGCTCGGTCAGTTTGGAGTTGCCCTTGATGTGCTTGGGTCCACCTTCTGTCCTTGGGGCCGTCTCGGCATCGCCCGCTGCTCATCAGACGGGTCATCGCATGGACAGCCTGAGACTCTCAAGATGCCTTGTCGGGATCATGTTTGGCCATGAGGTCATCTCAGTTTCGCTTGGAGGTCATCGTCGGTGGCCTGGGGCCCGAGTGATCTCACTTTGGGGTGATGCGGTAACGCGGTCATTGCGTGCACTTGTGCGTACTTCACCGTGAGACTTTCCAAAGAAACTCTTTGTTGGGGCCAAGTATGTCAACCCTCCCACCGCCTCTGTCGAAAACGAATGCAAAGTGATGGCGGGTTTGCGAGCATCGTGTATTGTGTGCGGGTGTGCACCCACGATCACTTTGCGTGTGTTTTTGACGGGTCGTGGGCCTGCGCGCAACAGGCAGAACCCCCTCCGCCGTCCCTGGCAAAATGAGCTTCTTATTGTCTGTTGAAAGGGATGGTAGGCCTGAACACAGCACACAGCAGGCAAAGTGCCATTCAGAACGGGAGGTGTTGGCATTGCATTCAGAAGGCAGTATACCGGCACCCCGCCGTCCTTGTCAAACATATATGCAGAGTGATCGAGGGGTGTCCGCGCATGATCCAGATTTTCGTGCAAAAAGTGTTCTTCGTTTTTTTTGCCAGGGATGTTTGGGGGGGTCGGCATGGTGTCTCGGGTTTGTCGCCAGTCGGGTTGAACAAGGGGTATTCATTCATCCAGAAAAGTGAAAAGCCCTCTCCCGAACTGGAAGAGGGGGGTTGGAAGAACTAACTTCGTACCACTCACGCCCTAAATGGCTGAGTGATCCTGCAAAAGCGGGAGTCACGGCGGGCCCCCAAGGGGAAACCAGCACTCACATCTCCCAGTCAGTGAGTGGTTGGGGGCATGGTCTGGACACGTGTGTGGCCAAGCAGTTGGGCATGTCATGTGGCCTTTGTGGGACCGTGCAGGGTCTTTCTGTGGCCTTTTGGGGGCTCTCCTGGCGATCTTGGCGTCACTTCGGGGGTCTTGGGGCGGTCTTGCACCGTCTCGGGGCCAGTCTGGCTGGGGCTGCCTTGAAGGCCAGCCAGGGGCTCATGGGGCCACTTTGGGTCATCTAGAGGGTATCCTGGGGGGCCTTCTGGAAGCTTCCTGAACCTTCGCGGAGTTATCTGGAAGCGATCAGGCGAGGTAGCAGACACATTGAGCACACATGTCTTGGGCTCCCTCTTGAGACCTCTTTTGGCTTTATTGAGGTCTCGAGGGCCTGTCGAGTTCTTCTTGAGGCCTCTGGGGCGTGTCCCCTCTGGAGCGGTCTTGAAGGGCGTCTTGGGCAGCTTGGAGTCGTACGAGGATGGATCGGATAGGACCAGTGGGGCGCGTCGAGGAGCTCGTACCCCCCGTTCCCCCGCGTCAAACTGGAGTTTTGACCGCTGGGGGGGGGGGGGGATGGTGGGGCAAAGGGGAGGGGGGCAGCCAAACATGTCATACGCTCTCTCACCCCTGGCGGGGGGTCGGCGGATTGGGGCTGGTGGATCTCTTGGGGACCTTTCGTCGGCACGTTTATCGCGAAAATCTCCAAAGGCAGGACCCTGCGTGTCTTCATCATGTCCACCCTCATCGTGCCAACCCTCTACAGCCTGGTCTGGTTCTGCGTGTGGGGTACCGAGGGCATCCGCATGCAGCGCATGGCAGACGAGAGCGGCCTTTGCACCCAAGCCTACAATCATAACGGGGACTTTGCTGCTCAGTACGATCTGGATACGAAAAAAAACTTGGGTATGGGATGGACTCCCTCATGTGTGCTGGACGAAGCCTACCACGGCGGCTACGGCAAGTGCAAGAAGGCGAAGTTCGCTACCTACGTTGACCCTTCATCCGACGGCAACGGCAAGAAGTGCGTCAAAACCACGAAGTGGGTCACTGTTCCTTGTGGTGGCATGGCCGGTTCCGATCCTATGCTAGAGCCTAGCGCAATTTCGCCGACCCCCAGAAACACGGATTATGGACGACGTCGCCAGCTGCGCGGGGAACCGGAAGACGGCAGCGCAGGGGAGCAGAGGAGGACACGCTCGAGGATGAGGAAGAGCAGCAGCGGCAGGACGACGCGGAGAAGGGGATGAGCAAGGAGACGCTATGAAGAGGACGGAGGAGGACGAGGAGGGGAGGATGAGGAGGACGAGGAGGACGGAGGAGGACGAGGAGGACGAGGACGACGCGGAGGAGGGGATGAGCAAGGAGGAGGAGGAGGGAGGAGAGGAGGAGGAGGAGGAGGAGGAGGAGGAGGAGCACGAGGAGGAG